GCTCCCTGTGCGTCTCAGCTTCCTTCTCTCAAAAACGTGACCCTGAAACAGACCCTGGTTAGCAGAATCTAGAAGATGGAGCAGCGTGCCTAGGCCAGTTCCTCAGCACCCAATTTAAAAGTGAGTGACTACAGTATTTTTTTTTAAAGATGTCTTTATGTATTATGTATACACACACACCAGAAGAGGGCACCAGATCTCATCACAGATGGTTGTGAGCCCCCATATGGTTGCTGGGAATTGAACTCAGAACCTCTGAAAGAGCAGCCAAGTGCTCTTAACCTCTGAGCCATCTCTCCAGCCCGGAGTGACTACAGTATTAACGACTTTTCAGTTTACTGTGTTAGGTGCTTACCCGCTTGGTCCCTCCCTCCCCTCCTCCTCCTCGTGTGTGTGTGTGTGTGTGTGTGTGTGTGTGTGTGTGTGTGTGTGTGTGTTATTGTTATTGTTATTGTTTGAGACAGCGTCTCTCTGTATAGCCCTGGCTGTCCTGGAGCTCACTATATAGACCAGGATGTTCTTGAATTCACAGAAATCTACTGGCCTCCGCCTTTTCAGTGCTGTATTAAAGGTGTGTGCACCCCGTCTGGTCATGTGCTTTTCCTGTTTCCCGACCATCCTATGCGCACATGCTACTTTCCCCTCATGTTGTGCATGAGGACAGGTGCAGAAAAGCGAATTCAATGAACACATTAGATGCCATTGTGTCTACACTACACCATCTGTGTACCTGATTGCAGAACACTGGTTTTAAAAAAATCTTTTTGGTTAGCATATGAGTAGTAAGCCTCATTATGGCATTTTATATATAAACTGTATACACACACACACACATACACACACACACACAGAGAGAGAGAGAGAGATTCAGTCTAGCTTCTGAATATGAGAGAAAAAGTGATATTTTGTTTCTCCCCATGAAACTGTAGCCTACTGTAAATATTGCTTTATATACACCTAGCTTCACTTCCTGAGTATGTGGGGCTGGCTCTCAGCCATGCCTTACTGGTTTTTTTTCCGTTTGTTTGTTTATTTAGTTTTTTTCTATCAGGTCTGGTATGTAACCTAGGCTAGGTTTGAATTTGCTGTGCTCCTGCTTCCGCCGCCTGAGTGCTTGGACTGTGGACCAATGGCCCGGATTTGTTTTCCGAGACAGGGTCTCGCCAGGTGGCTCCAAACTCACAGTTCTCCTGCTGTCATGCTCCTCTCCTGCCCCTCTCAGGGCTGGGCATCATGGCTTTCTTGCCTTTTTTTTTTCTTGATAGACCCATGCATTTAGCAGACATATGTTGAGTAAATTGGGAGTAGCTTCCTGAAAAGTTTGGACTATAAATGTGAAAAGATGATCCCCCCCCCCCTGGTTTTTAGAGACAGGGTTTCTCTGTGTAGTCCTGGCCTTCCTGGAACTCACTCTGTGTAGATCAGGCTGGCCTCAAACTCATAGAGATCCTCCTGCCTCTGCCTCCCAGGTGCTGGGATTAAGGTGTGCGACACCACTATCCAGCTGACTTTCTTAAAAAAAATATTGTCTCCCAGCTGGATCATATGGCCCCTTTCCAAGCCTTGTTTCCCCAGATGACTTTCAGGTATGATCTGGCAACATTTTAGCTCCTGAGACATAAATTTGGTATAAGCTTTAAAAAAAAATGTTTTCTGATGATCTGGGTGATACCGATGGGTTAAACACTACACAGAGACCAGCACGGTGGGGATCATGGACTGGCTGTCTTTTCTCAGGTCCATAAGACCAAGCAGAGAACACAATCTGGACCTCATGAATAATAACATGTGCTTCTATGAAACAACTCCAAGTCAGATAACCACATAAATGCATCTTAACCACAGAACGCACCAACTCAGTCACCCTTCCTGACAAGGAAGGTGTTGCGTCCATTCTGCAGATGAGACACATTAAGGTCTAACACACTGTCCACTGCAGCTAGAGGGGTGGGCTGGCTCTGTAGTCTGTGTTTTTGGTGCTCTGTTGCCTCTTAGAAGGAAGTAGGGGCTTCCCAGAATAATTGTGAAGTGAAGGCTGGCTAGCACAATGCAATGAAAACAATGGAGGCTGGTTGGGAAGTGCAGGACGGGTGAGCTCCACACGCGTTTGTGTGGGTGGAGAATGACTGCTGTCACACTCACTGGCATCAGCCAAGGATGATTTCTCAGGATGCGGTTGCTGGCTGGGTGCCTCTTGTAGCCACGAGATTCTGCTCCCCGTCTCCTCCTGTCCCCTGTGCCCTGAGAAGCCCCCTTTAGACTTTTCTCCCCCTCCTTCTCCTTCTAGAAGGCTGTCTGAATCGGACGCTGAGAGATACTAGCTACGGGCTGTCTCTATCTGTACATGTAGAAACAAATATACCAGTAAGTGATCTTTAAGGTAAAAAGTATTTCTTTAGTGCATGTTATGTGCACATGTGTATGGGTAATTTTTAGGGGTTGGTTTTCCTCTTCCACTACGTGAATCCCAGGGATCAAACTTAGGTGGCCAGTGCTGAGCTATCTTAGGGCTGCTCTCTTTATATGCATTTATCTAGATCTCTGCTTTGACATGTGTTATTAAAGAAAAACATTTCATTCCTTAAATGCCCCTCCCACTCCTTCTCATTCTTCCTGTATCTGTACTTAGACCAAGTGTTCATCAAATCGGTGTCTCTTATTAGTCATGCCCAGACCTTATTGGTATGTTCTGGCTCTACCTTCTCAGGCTAGAAATATAGGGGAGTCTTCATGTCCACCTATCAGTCACATGGTTCTGGGAATCTGAACCCCAGTGATCTTACTCAGCAAATGCTTTAACAGCAGAACTATTCCACAGCCCCTAATTGCTCTTTTTGTTTGTTTGTTTGGTTTTTTGGAGACATGGTCTCTCTGTAGCTTTGGAACTTGTCCTGCAGACCAGGCAGGCCTTGAACTCAGAGATTCATCAGTTTCTGCCTTCTGAGCGCTGAAATTAAAGGTGTGTGCCACCACCATCCAGCCCTAATTTCTCCTCTAATTACTTTTTATGTCATTTGTTTCTAAGGAGAATTATGGCAGGACCACATGCATTTCAGAGTTAAAGCTATCAAATAAAAGATCCACAGGTAGGGAGTTGAAGCAAGCCCCAGGCAATTGCTCGAGAGTCCCCAGCTCAGTTCTTAAACTCTTGTTGCTCAATGAACAATAATAACCGCTAACATCTCTTGAATTCCTATTACGGTCAGGCTCCAGGAAGTTTACATATATTCTTACTTTAGTAAACTGTGCCTTGATGGGGGATGTCCTTCTGTATGCCGCAACTATGTGTTTCTCTTATTGGTTGATAAATAAAGCTGCATTGGCGAATGGCTGAACAGAGTAAAGCCAGGCGGGAAATCCAAACTGGGAGAGAGAGAGGTAGCAGTCAGGGTCGAAAAGATGCTATGTAGTTGCAGCGAAGTTAAAATTCCAAGGCATCACCAGTGATAAAGCATTTGCTGAGCAAGACGAATAGAAATGGATTAAGAGAGAGCTAGCCAGTAAGAAGCCTGAGCCATTGGCCAAACAATTATAAATAGATATTGTCTTTGAGTGGTTATCTTTGAGCGGCTGTGGGGAACCAGTGGGTGGAGAGAAACTGGTCCAGTGGGACCGAGATAGATGGAGAAAGTTTCCTTCTACAGTGTCTTGAATGTGAACTGTCCCCTGTAGGTTCGTGTGTTTGAACTCTTGGGTCCAAAGCTGGTCATGGTGTTTTGTATGGTTACGAAACCTTTAGCAGGTGGCAGACCTTTGGGATGCCCCTACCCCCCCTAAGCCCCCAACCCCACCACACCTGCTGTTTCCCAGCTGCTCATGCTTATGCCTGCATGCCTCTCCCACTGTGATGGGCTGTGTCCTTTCTTAAAGTGTGAGCCGATATAAACCCCTTTGCTCAGATCTTGGCTCACAACAGTGAGGGAAGTATCTAGTAGGTTTCTCAACCGCGAGAAACGGGTCCTGTGAGTGACTGTTCCTGGAAAGGAGCGTTGGCTATGAAGGCAGATTGACGGGAACTTGACTGCTGTGGGGAGGTTAGAATGTTGCAGCCATTTTTAAAGCTGTCTTTAGCTCCTTTAATAATCACTTGCTGCCCACGTCTGTTTGTAACCTAACATCCTTGTGTTAGATAAATCCTTTAGAGTGCAGGAAGGGACTCTTGTAGTGTCTACCAATCCAGAAACCAAGAATGCCAGCAGACAGTGTCTGAAGCAGGTAGTAGGGATCTCCCCACTTCGCTGTAGCCCACCTACCTGATTTCACCGTATTTGACACACGAGTTGACATATGACTTTGTTTCATCACCACAAAAATGTCATGAAAGTGCTGCCATGTTAGAACATGGAATTTGGAGTGAACTAAATCTGTATTCCTGGGCCACAGTCACCATATTAAACTCTCTCCTCGCAAGAGAGGGGAGTTACGTAAAGGTGTGCCAAAACATTGCAGGTAGGAGCTGGGTCTGTGGTTCTAGCCTCTTCTTTCTGGGACACTTTAGCCCCCATTCTTCTGAGGCTGGGTAGCGGCTCAGCATCACACCCTCAGAGAAGCCTCTGCTCAGCCTGCCTCCAACAGCGCTTTCCTATCCCATTCGGAACACTCATTGCAAGCCACTGCTGTTTTCTTGCTGTATTTTCTTGGCGGTGGTGTCCTTCTGGTTAGAATCTGAGATCCACCAAGGGAGAGACAGTTTCTGTCTTGTCTATCATCCTGTTGTTCTAGCAACAGCGACTGCTGTGTTTGTTGGTGAGTAAATGATAATGGCTTCAGAATTCATTTTACCTCAACCATTCTACAATACGATCAATACATGGAAAAAGCCCACTTAAACATAATAGTGTAGTTCGGACTCTTGTTGGCATTCAACCATGGCTTATTTTTCTATGCATTCCAGGGAAATTTTATCATCATGGTAACAAAGTTCTGGGAGCAGGAATACAAGTCTCAAGAACAAAAGAAAAACATATTCACAAAATAAAAGCCAAAAATATGCCAGGGTGTATTGTTGGAAAAATCATTTATTGCAATTCAGTGTCAAAAATGTTTACAAAAAATATGCCACTGTCTGGTACAAACAACTATAAAAAGTCAGTTCATCATGCAAGAAAGGTGTGCAAATAAGTTATACAGGACTCAGATCATTCAATATTAAACACTCATCTTTGCATGTAATCTGTCTAACCTTATACATTTAGTTAACACATTCCACCCACTCTAATATTTTTTCTTGAAAAAGTACACTTAAAGCTTCTAAGCTTAGACACGGACTATAATATACACTCTCTTTAGCCAGGGTGACTGGCATTTGGTAACATAAAGACGACACCAAAAGCTCCCAAGGACGGAGCAGGGCTTGGAGCCATCTGATAAACAGCCTTGTGCATAGTTAGCAAATGTGTCTCTATTCAGAGTCATGTTCAGTAATGTTGAAGCATATGGAGCATCCAGAAACTTGACGGTTTGGATGTAGCCATCCATTTCCAGCCAAATGGAGAAGGACTAAGTTTAGAGAGCTTTCCCAGGAAGCTTTGCTTGCTGAAGTCAAGGACACTTTGAAAAAGGTGCACCAGACAAAATTATGGCTACCACCATCCCTTGCCGTATGGGATAAATTCTGCTGATTGCAAACAAAGTGGGACAGTGTGAACTCTCACTAGATAGAACTGCACTGGGTCCTGCAGTGGGGCTCACCGGTAAGAGAGGAGCAGGAAGGAAGATGGATGCTTAAATGTGCCTTTCCCTTTCAGGGGAGAACAAAGACGTGCTTGGGTACCAGTAGGAGCTGGGTCAAGACTATACTTATCTGATCCTTAGTGTGTGTGTGTGTGTGTGTGTGTGTGTGTGTGTGTGTGTGTGTGTCTGTGTGTGTGTGTGTATGTGTGTACACTAGAATGCCTGGAAATATGTGTGCACAGGCATATGTATTTGGAGGTCAGGGTAGATATTGGGCATCTTTCTGGATCTCTGTTTTTGAGGCAGGGTCTCTCACTGAGCCTGGGTACCATTAGATTCTTAAAACTAAATGAACTCCCCATGCACTGAAGCCTTTCACATGGGTGCTGGAATCAGGACCCTGTATCTATTCTTAGAAGGGCATTATACAACCACCCAAGGGAAAGATGAATTTGTCAAAACCTACTGTTTTTTTTTTTTGGTTTTACAAGACAGGGTTTCTCTGTATTGTTTTGGAGGCTGTAGGTCCAGCCCGGCCTTGAACTCACAAAGATCCGCCTGCCTCTGCCTCCCGAGTGCTGGGATTAAAGGTGTGCGCCACCACCGCCCAGCTTGAAACCTACTGTTTTTGAAACAAGGCCCCGGCTAGAAAAGCAGTTCTCCTGCCTCTGCAAAGGTTACAGGTGTGCGTACCACATACCTGGCGTGTGGGTTACTTCCTAGTAATGATGCTATAGCCACAGCAGAATGAGAGGGTGTGAAAAGAAAAGGGGACCCCTTAACTTCTCTGGTAAGAGTCAGAGTTAAGAAGGTTTGGAAGACTGTGGCAGAGGCCCATCATGGACCAGTCTCTCCTGCCTCCCGCCGTGAGACTCTTTGGAAGAATCACACTGAGTGGCGTGAATCTACAGATGCCCACAACGTGCTTGGGGGGGAGACGGACTCATAGCTCTAGCTTCAGGAAGCTCCAGGTTTCCGTCTATCTCTCTACTGCTGACTTCCCAGGGCGTGCAGAGGAAGGCTCCCCACCCTCCAGTTCTGGACAGGGTTCCTCATCTTGAAAGGTAGAAATGTCAGAACACACCCTCGCTCACCCTTCTTGGTCTAACATCTAGGATGGGGATTTCCTTCATTTAGAAAACCAAAGGTGGCTTTGCTGCTGTTTTCTGCATCAGCAAAGCAGAGAAGGAAACACTTACAGAAAACATAGAATTTAGAGGAATTGCTACCTTGTTGGTTGAAGCCATAGACGGCCCATGATATACCAGAGAGTAAGATCCCTGCGCGTGCCCAGAGGCTGAGAGTGTTTCTGAGTCTCTGGAAGCACTAACGGGGTTCAAGCCAGCATCCAGTCAGAGGAGATGGTTCACAGACTCGGAGAGTTGGAAACAGATTAAAAAAAAACAACAACAGATGTCAACATAGAAAATGATAGAGTTTAGTTAAAAAAATGCACACATAAAATCACAGTCAAATTCACACATAAAATTTAGAGTGTTTGCATAGCAAGATGTTATTGCCCTGCAGCCAGGCAGAAAAATATAAACCCAGGTGCAAGTTCTAGAATCAACATTGTTTTCAATGCCGAGAGCCATACACTGCTAAACATCTCCTGTGATGATTTACCTCTGTGAACCATGGCAGTTGCTTAGACAAATCAAATCCCCAGCCTTTTCTCTTCTGTGTAGAGCAACGAAAACAATCTGTGTCAATAGCGAGCATCTCACAGGGAAGGGTTTGGGAGGCCACAGGGGTGTGCCACCTGCTAACTGGCTTCAAGGTCACAAGTAGCTCGGCTCTTGCACTGAGAGCTTTTGCAGTGGAAGTACCTTGTCCAAACCACTTGCACCCGACATTAATGGTCACTAGCCAGAAGGCCTGTCCCAGCTGATGGACTGGAGATCCCCTAGTAACTTCTGGTCCTCTGCGTCACTCCTGCCTCCCATTGGACTGATTACAGCAGCTCACTCAACAGTGGTGAGTAACGACATGGTCTAGTTGACAGTGTCCCTGGGTTTGTCTGTTTATTTATTTTTCTACCGGCCATTGCTATAAAAGGAGCATTCCTAAACTTTATATGGAATGGTTCTCCCTCTTCAGAGACTCCCAGCCGATTGCTCTTACGCTTCGAGTCACCATTTCCCTGGGTTTGCTCATAGGGTTTGGACAGAACATTTCCCTTCTCTTGATACCCAAAATGACTTCAGAGTGGGCGCAACTCTAGTTGTGCTTTATGACATGAAAAGGAGGGGCAGGGAGGGCACAGTATAGAGAAAACACACTTTCTTCTTTGTGCTGGAAAAATTCTTCTAGCAATTTCTATAGCCACACCCCTCTCGCCTTTGTAGCAGCAGTTCTGGGCCTGGGGTTCTTAGTTTGTGTTTTAGATCTGGGAGTCCTGGATGGGTTTGCCCAGAGGAATTCTATAGACTATAAATGTCCTAGGAACAAACGTTTTTAAGTCCTGTTACTCGCGTGTGAGGCTCTGGCCATGACCTAATATGGGTATCTTGCCTGCTCTACTCCCCCCATTGCTCCTCCCCGCCAACATCAAAGACACACCATTTCTACTCCTCCCCCACTCCCTCTCCACCTGCCACATCCTTCCTGTTTCCTACTAGCCAATGAAAACGACCCACACAGGTTCTTTTTTCCTCTTTCATCCTAAATCAATTCTTCAGTTGTATCACATGCAATATCCAACGACACCAAGGTTCGGAGGATCTGCAGGCACCCAGTCACCATTCTGAGAAGCCGTGACCTCGCTGCTTGGGGCGAGGGTCGTTTTGCACAGAGGCAGGTTGTGCCTTTGTGCACTGCTGGCACTGTCCGTGAGATCGGCGTGTCACCAGCCTTCTGCTGGCCGTCCAAGCAGGCCATGTGGCTGGAGCTGTAAACCCTCAGGTCCCAGCAACTTCCCATCTCCAAACAACGCAGCCGAGCAGGGGAAACACACTCATGAGAGCACGAGAAAGGCCGTGAGCCCCTAACCCTAACAGTGTCACTCAGAACCATTTCCATAGCAATGGCAGGTCCAGCTCCATCCTACAGCCAGACAGAAGGTGAGATACTGGAGAGTCTGACAGTTATGGAAAAATGTCCTCAAACCCTTCCTCCCTCCCTTCTGTTCTTTCATAGTCTAGCCCTGTGTTCTTATGTACAGTGTTCTGCAGGCCAGAAGAGGGCGCCAGATCTCACTACAGATGGTTGTGAACCACCATGTGGTTGCTGGGAATTGAACTCAGGACCTCTGGAAGAGCAGCCAGTGCTCTTAACCACTGAGCCATCTCTCCAGCCCCTTCCCTATGTTCTCAATGTAAAACTAATTCTTGGGCAAAGAGTAGAAAGAAACAAAGTCAAATAGAAAACCCTTTGCTGTTACTAGTTTGTAGTCTCTAAAGTTTAAATTTATACACCAGATCTTGTTCCTTTACATCTCCCCTTCCCCATTACGAGCCTTTAAATTCAACGTAACTTCCCCCTCAGGGAGGAAGGAAATAGGGAGAACTTCCGGTGTAAGCACAGACACCGCAAAGCAGGGAGTCTGGCAGACTCCGTCAGCCTGCACCGTACTGACCCAGGCACGCTCTATTACTGAAGGAAGAGGTGTTGACTGTCCCTTGTTCCTGTGCATGCTCGGCCACTCCTCCCCTCCTCTGAGGACCACTTGAGCATCCATGTCTCAGGTGGCACAATACCTTACTTAACATCTATTGTAGAACGACTTCCTGTTTCTGCTTACTTGCCAAGGACATGCGTAGTGGCAGTTTTATTTGGAGATTTAAAAAAAAAAGGCAAATACAACTGCAAATATATACACATGGTAGAAAAGCAACAATCTATAAAAAGTAAAAAATAACATTGCCCCCACCCCAGGAATCAACTCCTCAAGTCCTGAGATTTGCTCTCTTCCACAGTGTTCATAGCTCTGCTTTGCAAGACCCCCTGGGATCCCTTGTCTCTAAACTCTCTGCTTTAACTCAGTCCTGAAAGAAGGTGGACTCATCTCTGTAGCTGGCTGGAGCTCCAGGCTTCCTTTTAAATCATGCGTGTGGTGAGTCCCAACTCAGGGTGACTCAGGTTTGATGTTGGACTTAGCAACAGAAAGGGCCTCAGCTCATTACCCTGCCAGGGGAAGCAGCAGCTACCAGAAGGTTTAATTGGCTGGTGTGAAAATGTGTCTCTCCAGCAGTACTCGGGCTCCACTAAGTTCACAGACATTGACTAATCCATGAGGACACCCACGGAAGCCCAGACATGCCCAGAAGTTAAGCGAGAAGAGCGTAGACTTAAGCCAGAATTGCCGAGCCTCCGCATCTACAGGTGCCTAATTCTAGCTCTTCATGACTTCTACGGAGCTGTTCTTACGCTGGCCATCTGGTTCCCTACGCGAGCTACAACATGGAAGAAAGAAGGGGGTAGAAATCAGGGGGGCAGAGGGAAAAGGACGTCAGACCGAGAGGAGGGTTTTTCTTTTTCTAATAGCGTTCCCATCTTGGATCTCTTTACAGATGAAAGCACTTACACGAGACACAGACATTGCCTGCTAGGTAATGTATGCTGCCAGAGAGCACTCTATGCGTTTAGAGGTAGACCATTGTGTGGCATCTTCGTAGGATAAGACCTTACGCCCGTGCAGGTTTCAGATGGGCGGACGTCTTTGCCTGTTCAAAACAAACCCCAAAGCCCAACCCAAAGCCCAAGGACTTGTCAACTGTAGTATCCATTCTCCTTCCTTATTTTGTTTTAACATTATCACATTGTAAACAGAGTGTTCTGTCTTATATTTGAGCTTTCCTTTTTTGTCCCGGGGAACTAGGAAGTTTCCATGAACATCAAGAGGACTCCGTTTTCATGGCAGACATAGAGTTCTTGCCCTTACAGTCTTGCTGGCAAATGGTTAGGAAAAAAAAAGTCTATTTACAGTATCTGTTTTTCCGTACCAGTCCTAATGTGACGTCCACATTTGTAAATTCCCATTGGCAACTGCGTCTCTTCCTTCCACCGTCTTCTTGGTGACTTAGCTCAGAAGTTTCAAGCCAATGCTTGAAATGTACTATTTACAAAGGAAGACTCCGAACGTCTGGCCGTCTGATCAGCAGGGGCCTCGTGAAGTGCCGTCGTGTGCTGGGATTCAGAACTTGAACAAGTTGATGAAGTCCTGGGGCGAAAGCGACGTGGAGCAGCTCTCGGGGTTGTTGGCCGTGCACGGATGGTCGGTGCCCTGGAAAGAGCATTGTGGTTAGATCTGAGCTCTCCCTGGCAGCTCCCTGGCTCTGTACGGCATGGCCCAATCTCTCAGCAACTCTGTCAAGAGTGCCGCGGCAGGGGCTGGACAGGACAGGTGGTTCCGTGGCTAAGAGCAGGTACCGCTCCTGCAGAGGACCCTAGTTCTGGTCTTGTGTCTGGGCCAAGCAGCTCACAACCACTTGTAACTTCAGCTCCAAGGTATCTGACACCTCTTCCTGCCTCTGCAGGCACTGCGCTCATATATACACAACCACACACGAACATGTGTGCATTTTGTTTGTTTGTTTGTTCGAGACAGGGTTTCTCTGTATTGCTTTGGAGTCTGTCCTAGAACTCGCTCTGTGGACCAGGCTGGTCTCGAATGAACAGAGATCCACCTGCCTCTGCTTCCCGAGTGCTGGGATTAAAGGCATGCGCCACCAACACCCAGCAATATACGCATGTTTATGATAAAAGATACCAACAAATCTTAGAAACAAAAGAATGTCACCGAATTCAGGGAGAGAGGAAAGGAGTCGTGAGACTGTAAGGACCTGTATTTGGAGTCCTGGTACCCATGTAAAAGCTGGGCATGGAGGGCGCTGGGGGTGAGGCAGAACAGATGGGGCCCTGGAGGAGTTCGCTGGCTGGCTAGTCTAGCCAATGTGGTGAGCTCCATGTTCAGCCTTTTTGTTTTTTTTTTAAGATTTATTTATTTTATGTATATGAGTGCTTTATCTACACGTAATGCTAGAAGAGGGCATCAGATCACGCTGTAGATGGCTGTGAGCCACCATGTGGTTGCTGGGAATTGAACTCAGGACCTTTGGAAGAGCAGCCAGTGCTCTTAACCACTGAGCCATCTCCCCTGCCCTGCCCTTTGTTTTAAAGGTCCGGTGAGCTATTGAGGAAAAAGGAGACTATGATCTCTGGCCTCCACATGCACACGCTCACATGTCGTATGTGTACCTACACATACACGTGCACACACAAACACACCCCACACATACTGTCCGTCCATCCCCCCCAAAGCAATTCCACAGTACCAAGAAGCTAAAGAGTTAGGGCTTGCCTATGTGTTTATCTGTGCACACAAAGACAGAGTAGGCGGTGACTGGGTTTCAGACACAAAAACGAGCATCAGGGGCAGGAGAAATGAAAGCCTTTGCATTTCTCTTCCCTGCACAGGACCTGGCTGAGTCTCACTCTCCTAAGTGCAGGGCTGAGGCAGGGAAGAACAGGGGAGGTCTGGCCTCTTGTTGCTGGCACTGTTGACACTCAGGGTTCAGGGAAATCAGGCTGGAGGCAGGGACTGAAGCCGAGGCTGTTTACAGGGTGTTCCTGGCAGCCTGCTCAGTCTATTTTGTTACTGCCGCCCAGGAGTGGCACTGCTGACTGTCTGCTGGGTCCTTCTACATCAACTATCCATCGAGAAAGCGCCATGCAGACTTGCCCGCAGCCCAGCTTGCTGGGGACATTTTCTAAACGGAGGCCTCCTTTTCCAAAATGATGCTAGCTTGGGTCACGCAGACATAACCCTAGCCAGCCCAGACTCGTACCTTCCAGGAGAGAATGTGGCAGTGTCTGCAAAGCTGTAGGGTGTCCCCATACTGCTCTCTCCTTGGGTAACATCGTATCAGCTTAAAATACATCTTCTTCCAATCCAGCTGCCCTTTGTCAGACAAGATTAATCGCTTGCGGATCTGAAAATCAAGTGGAGAAAAGTAATTTCAGGAGAGGAACGTTTGGGGTTTTGAGGTTCTGCTCCTACTCTTTCCCCCACATTTTTACATGGACCCTAGAATATCCAGGGACAAAACTGTCAACTTGGAAAGTGATACTTTTTTTTTTTTTTTTTTTTTTTTGGTTTTTCAAGACAGGGTTTCTCTGTGGCTTTGGAGGCTGTCCTGGAACTCACTTGGTAGTCCAGGCTGGTCTCGAACTCAGAGAGATCCGCCTGCCTCTGCCTCCCGAGTGCTGGGATTAAAGGCGTGCACCACCAACGCCCGGCTCGGAAAGTGATACTTTCTTAGCTCTCCTGGCTCAATCGGCACTGTTTAGCCAGCTTCCGAAAGAAACGGAGCTATGTTCTCCTAGTGACTGACTCCCTTCACAGCGACTCCCACAGGCCACTTCGATCTGTTCTTTGCTGGACACCAGAGCCACTATTTCTGGGAAGACGCAGTTATTAGCACCGTGGCTCTATTTTATTTCCCGTTCACGTATCAGTGGCTTCCTGAAAAGAACCTGTTGAGTTAATGCACATATGAAGAAATCAGAAAGCCGGCCCTGACGCGGTGTGTTGAGGGACAGGGCTACTGGGTGTCCACAGCCCTGACACGGTGTGTTAAGGGACAGGGCTATAGGGTGTCCACGGCCCTGACGCGGTGTGTTGAGGGACAGGGCTATAGGGTGTCCACCGCCCTGACGCGGTGTGTTGAGGGACAGGGCTATAGGGTGTCCACGGCCTGATTCAAATGTACGGCTGGTCCCACCCGGAGGGCCATTTCACTAATGTGAGTACAGCAGTTGGCCATTTGTGGCCTTGGCCTCATCACCTGCTTGAAGTGGGTATGACAATATCTACCCTTCCTGGGTTGGGAGGATTAAAGGAAATAATGTTCATGAAAGTGCTTGAATATAAAGTACCATAAAATCAACCCCTCTCTGTCTCTGTCTCTCTCGGAAAGAGGCAATACCAATTTGTGAAATTTTTGGGTGAGCTGTAAAATGTAATTTGGATTAAGGATTTATTTTTTCCCTTGTCAAGACAATGACGACAGTAACAAGGAACCAAAAGCCAAAAACTGCACCACTGACTTAGGAACGCTTTAGACCAGTGGTTCTTAACCTGTGGGTCACGACCCTGTCGGGGTCCAAAGACCCTTTTACAGGTGTAGACTAAGACCATCGGAAAACCCAGATATTTACATCACGGTTCATGACAGTTGGGAAGTGGTAGCGAAAATGATTTTATGGTTGGGGGGATGTCACCACAATACACAATACAAGGATCTGTACTGAAGGGTCACAGTGTCAGGAAGGCTGAAAATTGCGTCCTTAGACTGTTGCTTTCTAGTAGACCAGGCATTCCTGGAGGCAGGCAGCCCGGCTTCACGCTGGAGACGAGTGGGTCTCTTTTAGGGGAGGGGCAGATCGGGGAGCACGGGAGGGAGAGGGGGCAGGCCACTGGGCTTTCACTGACCTGCCGCTCGGAGAAGTGGTACTGGCAGAGTCGCTTCCACAGCAGCCGGTCCTCACTGAGCACGTGCAGGTCTGGGGCTGCCTGGCCCAGGCTGACCAGGTCCCGCCCATCGCTCAGTCTCTGCATGATGTTCAGTTGCAAGCACACAGGCAGGTCAGTGAACGTGAGGCCCTTGAAGGCAGGCTGCACAGAGGAGGTGACAAGACGGTGTCACAGAAGTGCCATTTCCCAGGTCGCCTGCTCCCAGAATGCCAGTGTCCCCCAGGTGACTTCTAGATTCCCAAAGTAGAGCAAGACCCATGGCAGAGCCTCCAGAGGACAGCCTGGCGTGTCCCGGCTGACTCACCTGGCAGGCCCTCCTTGTGTTTGCAAGTTTCTGCTTTAAAAGACTCTCTAAAAAGCATATGCTGGATCCTTCCTTCCTTCCTTCCTTCCTTCCTTCCTTCCTTCCTTCCTTCCTTCCTTCCTTTCTTCCTTCCTTCCTTCCTATCATCTCATTAAAGCAGGACTGAGGCTCCTCTCCACCCCCACACCCCTGTGTCTAGGCTGAGCAAGGCATCTCTCCATATAGAATGGGCTCCACTAAGTCAGTTTGTGCATTAGAGTTAGGTCTTGGACCCACTGCCAGTGGCTTCATATATTGTCCCAGTCACACCATTGTCACCTATATTAAGGGAGTCTAGTTCAGTCTTATGAAAGTTCCCTATTTGTCAGACCCGAGTCAGTGATGTCTCACTAGCTCCGGTCAGCTGATTCTGTGGATTTCCCCATCATGGTCCTGACTCCTTTGTTCGTATTTTTGCTCCTCCCTCTCTTTTACTGTACTCCAGGAGCTTGGCCCAATGGTTAGTTGTGGATTTTTGTATCTGCTTCCATCTGTTTCTGGAACAGTGTTCTAGCTTCTTTGGGGTTGTGGATGTGTAGGCTGGGTATCTTTTGCTTTATGCCTGGTATCCACTTAAGAAGGTATAATACTGTGTCTGTCTTTTCATGTCCTTTTAAGAAAGATTTATTTTTATTGCATGTGTATGAGTGTTTGCCTGGATGTATGTAAACGCACGTGTCCATGCCTGGTGCCTGTAGAGGTCAGAAGGTATTGACTCCCCTGGAACTGGAGTTACAGATGGTTATGAGCTGCCATGTGGACGCTGGGAACTAAACCCAGATCCAATGCAAGAGCAGCAAGTGCCCTTAACCACTGAGCCCTCTCTCCAACTTGTCATGGTTTGTTTTTGACACCCCTGTAAGTCCAATCAGTGCTGCCCGTGTGTGCATGGTGTGGGGCTATCCACCAGAGCATGGGGGCATATTGGACTTTTGTGTTTTGTTAACTTCCCTACTCAACTTCCAGACTCGCTGTCTCCCAAAAGTGCCACTGTCCTGATGAGTGGCCCAGGCAGACACCTCGGTGACCTCAGATGGTTCCATTTCAGTGTCCTCCCTGGCACCCAACAACATTATGTCTACCTGTGCACAATGCCCTCGCCCACCTGGTCTTCTCTCGTCTCTCTTCAAACCATTTCCATTGGCCATGGCAGTACACGCCTTTGATCCCAGCACTTGGGAGGTATGGAGAGGAGGACACCTGTGTGTTCATGGCTAACCTGGTCTACATAGAAAGTTCTAGGACAGCCAGGGTTATACAGAGAGACCCTGTCTCAAAAAACCAAATACCTAACAAAGAAACAAAAGCCAAAACAAAACTGGACCATTTCCTCGGACTGCCTTTTTGGCTTATGTATTTCCCCTAGATCTCCTTCACCGCTTTCTTGGATCTCCTAGGAGCTCCTTCAATGACGGTCTGCACCTCCCTTTCCGCACACCCCCTTCCCCTTAGGAAACACTGAGTGGGACATTGCTTTCAGAGCCTGAGGTCCTTTTGCAACAGGGACTTGGCTTTGCTTCACTGTTGTGTCCTGGTGTTCAGAGTGTTTGGCATGTCATGAGCTCTCAATAAATATTAGTGCGACGGTTTAAATCCAAATAGTTGCACAGGAAAAATAAAAGAATAACACAAAGACACTGTGCTTATGTGTGTGGTATGTGTGTTTACAGGACTATATGTATGTTTTGTATGCATCTGTGTGGGTCTGTGTATGTATGCTTGTGTCTGTTTGTGTGTGTATGTTTGCATACATGCCGGGCAATGGCTGGCCCAAAACCCTTTGAGCTATAAGCGCCGCTGCAAAGGAGGTGGCTCTATTCACACCAGGGGACATTTAATTTTCAAAACTCTTACTCTACAAACAGGAGGTTTTGTCTGCATGTATGCATATACACCGTATGTGTGCTCGATGCCTCTGGAGATCAGAAGGTATCGGACCCTCTGGAACCAGAGTTACAGATGGTTGTGGGCCACCATGTGGGTGATAGGAACCAAGCCCTGGTCTTTTGCAGAGCAACAGTGCTCTTAACTGCCGAGTGACCCCTCTAGCCCCTCCAGGGAATGCTTTAAAGACTGCTCATTTACATGTAGTATAGACCTGCAATCAACCTTGAGCTTCTGAAGGGACTTCCACTATATCCCCAAGCTTATATTCAAGCCCTTTCTTACTTTAAAATTTGATGATCTCAAGATACCTCACCTATACCTACAAATCCTTGAAGGCAGCAGGCCCTAGCTTGGAGGCCTTGGAGACTAGCCCGGCACAAACGCCCTTGTGGCACCTTCTGTGGATAGCTGCGGAAATGCAGGGGGAAATAATCCTCTTGGAATAGGGATTATTTTCCTCATCTACATGTAGAGAGCACAGTAAAGCCCAAACACACGGGGCTACTTGGTACCAGCCTCACTGGGATTCCGGGTGTCATTTAGTATTGGAAAGCACCCCGGGAAGACAGGCATTAGCAGGGAAGATGGGTTCTAGAAGGAGGACTTAATGGGACTGTTGAGAAGGTTGGTGTGGCATGGGAGGAACATGATTTAAGGGCAAAGGGCACGTTCAGATGGCATCCTGGGAAGTCTGGGTCGCAGCTTCCCCAGCTCCCAAAGACTGTGTTTAGAACACCCAAGATCCCTGTAGCTCTAATGATCTTGGACCTGTGGTGACTCAGGCCTCCTGTTTCATCAGAAGTGTCCGTGATTTGACAGTTTTTACTGCTTTCTTCTTCCCCAGGCTGTTGGGCCGAACTCAGTTTGTTTGCAACATCGAGGACTTTGTGTGACCGCAGCAAGCCCTAGACCCTATTTATCATTTATCATCTGCTGTTGATCATATGAGCTAATAAAACTGCCATGGGATTTTCTCTTTGTTTCCAGCACTTCAAAGCCTCTACATTTTGGTGAAAAGTCCCAGGCCAATTATTACATTAACTCCTATTAAAGGCAAGTTTGCTTGGCAGAGTTTGCTCTGTCAAATTTTCAAACCTGAACTTTTCCAAAGCCCTTGCCCAGACCTCGTGCCAAGCCCTTACTCCTGATAAATGGTTAACTGCTTGCAAGCCTTCCTCCTCTCGAACATAAACATATAAAAGGAAAAATATGTCACTCTCGCTGCCTGAGCCAAGCATTTGTGTCTACCCCAGACCCCTTTTTCCAAAACACTGCTTTGCCCACAGCACTATAATTATATTTTATTTTTCCCCTACAAACCAGTTCTCTTAATTTTGTCCTTCATCCTTTATTATTATATAAATTGCGTTTGCCAATAAAAATTGGCTCGAAAGAATTAGATATGACGATTTCTAAGGCAAACAAGGTTACTCTCTGTGGCAGGACATGGGCAAACAGGGAAGCATTAACTAAGAAAGTCAGTTTTTAATATTTTCTTTCTGACAAATTATACAAATACTGCCCAGACCGAGGTAATTAGAGTGTTTTTGTTCTCTCACTGCCTACCCAAGGATCTTCTAGCCCAGGCTGGCTTCAGACTTTTTCTGTAGTTGAGGATGACCTTGAACTCACCATTCGCCTGCCTCCACTTCCCAAGTGTGCTGAGATTACAGGCCCGAGCCACCAAGCCCCATAGGAGTTGGGGATTTATGTGGGACGCCCTACTACACAACTCTCAGAACAAAACAGCTCAGAGCCCCTCTTGTCGGTGCAGGAGAAGACAGAGTGGAGAAAGGACGAGAAGTTTGAAGTATAGCCTCTGTGAGCAGCCTGTTTTGGAGTCTGGAGTCTGATGTCAGGCCTCCTGGCACGTAAGACCCAGCAGTTACACTCTGCCCTCCACACTCATGGTTTCTACACCCTTGAGCTCTCTGAACCACAGACGGAAAATACCGAGGAAAAAATGCATCTGCACCGACTTTGCTGAGACTCCTTTTCTTGTCCTCATGCCCTATGCACATAGCACCCTACAGGGCATTAAACTGGGCTCGAGACAATTTGCAGTGCAGCGGAGGATGTACGTAGGCTAAGCACAGTCACTATGCCACTGTGTACAAGACACTTGAGCATCCATGGCAACCAGGGTATCCTGGGGACGTCTGAGGATCTATTCTCTGTGGGTACCGAGGATGACTTTTCTCATTTACAAAGCGAGGAAAGAAGAGACCAGGTTAGATAGATGATGCATAGAAGTAAATTTCAGTCACTTGCCCCATTGCAATTGATTACTAGATAAGTTAATTATCACATGGGAAGGACGTACAGTGTGTGCGCAGGCAAGTCCTCGGCCGTAAGATCTAACGCAGCTATAGAAATGGCTACCACATACCAGGCCCTGTTCCAGCTGTAGACTAGCTTAAGCAATCTCATGCCTGTGTTAAATCTCACACAGGGGTAAGAGATGGCTAGTCTGCTTCTATTTTCCAAGCGAGGAAAGCAAAGGAGAGTAACGGTCGGAATCTCGCAGCCGATAGCTTATCACTGTCATCCATCATCTAGGACAATATTTTCCCATCAGGCTCCCCGGAAGGAACCCTGCACATGCACTTCAGGAGGCAGCTGGTGGGGAGCTGTCTCTTCAAAGAAGCATTCATCTCTTCAACTAAAATCTACTGACTGCGGGTGCCAGCAGACGACGGAGTCTTTTCCTTTGGTGACAGATGTGTATGCGTGTGAGACCCTTCTAGCTAGTCAGAGGGTTCTGAAGAGGACCGTGCGACAGGGGCTTTAAGAGATGGGATGGACCAGGAAGACGTGAGCCACAGGCCCTGAGGTAGTGTGTGGAGAAGTATGGGGCTCACTGGCGCACCTCAGGCAGATGTTAGAGGGAGACAGATGAGTGTCAGGGCTGGATCCCTTCTGCAGAGGATTCCATTGGGTTAAAAAAGGGTTTTGATTTTTTTAAAAAAAATAAGCTGGATCAGTGGATAAACAGTTGGAAGAGAAGTAGATGGGAAAAAGTTTGGAAGCCACTGATGTTCAGCACGCTTTGCCATTTTAGGAATAAATACTCGCAGCTTCTGACTTAACCTAATTTCTCTGTAGTGCTGAGAAGGTCACTGGCATGCTCTGGTGTCCACTTCAATGGATGACACCCTGTGAAGTAGACACAATGGCTGCCTTTAAGGACGTAAGGTCATGAAAGCAGGAGGAAAGGGAGACCGGGGTAGGAGACACGCTCGCCTGAGGTGGCCCAGAGGGCACCCAGCTCAGGGCAAGCAAGACCATGGAAACAAAGCCTCCAGAGTTGCTAGAGGGACGATGAGGAACAAACAGGCCTTGTTCCTTTCTATCGCTGGCTGGCAACTTCCTCTGGGGAATAAGACCAGGATGTATTCAGTCCAGGCCATAGAGACTGCTAGAGTCAGTTAGCAGTTCTACCTGAGTTTTCTGAGGGAAGAAGGGGATTCTGGTCTTAAATATACACTGCTAAGCTATGTCTCTACTCCAGAGATGACACAGGGACAAACGATTACAATTACACTGTTCATAATGAACGCTTGATTATCTTAAAGCAATCCAACAATGGGGATAATTTCTGAAAGATGACCTACATTTGGGCTCTGCTCCACCCTTTGCACGCATGCGTTTTCAGGCACACGCATGTGTGTGCATGTACACGAGTTTGTGGGTGTGTACAAGCAGGGGTGTTGTGGTCTAAGTGACTCTGAGGAAGCCATGTAATTGGAGGTTTCCAATTACTCTACCTGCAGCAGAATTTAAGAAACCAAGGTGCAGAAAGACCATTAATTGTAAAGTAAGAATGTGCTTTCTGGGGCTGGAGAGATGGCTCAGAGGTTAAGAGCACTGACTGCTCTTCCAGAAGACCTGGGTTCAATTCCCAGCAACCACATGGTGGCTGACAGTCATCTATAATGAGATCTGGTGCCCTCTTCTGGTGTCCAAGCACATATGCAAGCAGAACACGGTAACTACAATAAACAAATAAGTAAGTGTGGTATAATAATAATAATAATAATAATAATAAAGAACGTGCTTTCTGGAAACGTCACACAGCAAGGGATTACTTAGAAGAGTCACGGGGTTTCCTTTCTGCATGTCACCTTCACCTGATACATGGTGCAGCTCTAAACCGTGTGAATCCCGGAAGCCACTTAACCAGCCCAAGGTGTGATTAGATAAGCAGCCAAGTGCTGTGTGAGCTTCCCGAGTGTGCCTGTCCATTAGTGAGCCCTGGGAGATTACGCCAGGGACAGTCACACATTGTGTGTGCCTTAGTCTCCCCCTCTCCACGAGGAGGATGGGAGCCAACAATGAGTTTTTATTCTGAAAGCCAAAAGGAGTGTCTGATATATGAAGCCTACACGGGTAATCCACAGGCTCTGAGTGAGTCTAGCTCAGCATTTTCTTACACGTATGTTCAGGCTTGGCTCAAAGGTGTCCTTTGTCATCACTGCCATTAAACGGGACTGAGATTCTAAAAGACTGGTGGTGCCAGTTCTCCAAGCTACAGCCTTCTGGGTTCTATTGTCCCCAGTCCACAAACAGCTCATTCTTTTTGAGGGAATGGGTGGAGAGCTCCCCCAAGCCTCACTGAAGACTTGAGCGGACAGCCAGCATCCCTCCCTGAATGGCGATGCTCCCGTTTCCTTGCCCGATGTTTCAGGTGGCTCTTATCTTTTACATTCCTTCCGCCTGTTTCGACAGGCTCCCCCCCCCCCCCCCGTTTATCAGGATGCCCCCCACACCACAAGGATGAGGCATCCAATCAGAAGCGACCGTCTGCTGCATGCCCAGAGTGGACTTTACGCCCTAGGGTTCCGCTCAGCGTCTGAGTGGAGGAAACCATGGTGGGGCGAGAGGGGTGAGTGGGACTTGCACTCACCCTGGTGATCTGGATGCTGCTCAGCTGCTGCTGCCAGTGTAGAATGGTCTCCATCCGGTACACCCACATGTTAATGTTGCCCACCAGGACAGACTTGCCAACTCTCTGGACCAGCGTGCATAAGGATGTGTAGAGAGTCTGCAGAAGTTCCCTTATGAGTCTTATGTTTTGCTGGTCTTCAAGGACTTGAGTGGGAATAAGAAAAATGAAGTCAAAGTTACGTGATGGAAACCATGCATGTTACAAGCGGTCTTTTCTTCATCATCGATCGCGCCCATTACTGGGCTCTGTCTCTTGGGATACGGTCTTCTACCTCACCAGTGTCTACTCTATACTGGGCTAACGGGTAGAGTTTCCATTATGTAGGTCCCTCTTTGTTCTCGTCTCCTGGGTTTCTAAAAGCGCTCCTTTCTGTTTCCACCAGCGCCAAGGGGCCACCTATCAGAAAGCGGCTTTTCTGTCCGGCAGCTGACATATTTTAGACGGTCAGCACAAGGCTGCAATTTTGGGGTTCATAAGGTTGAGTTCCAACCCTGTCTGGCTAACTTGTAGACGTACACAGGCAGATCATTTCTCTTATGCATCAGGTCCTCCCCGCCACCCCAAGTGTGAAACGAGTCAGCTGAGCCAGAGGCCTAAGGTCATCGCTAGTTCAGTCCATGCCTCAGATCAGCCCCATTCTCTAGGAATACTGAAACGCCACGGCGAAGGGTGGGGTGCAGATCCTCACTGAGAAGCAGCCAGTCAAGCGTAAAGCAAGGCAGGCAGATGATCCTAAGGAGAGGACGAGGGGGCAGCGGTCCTGTTCTTTGCCAAGGGCTCGGGTGGTACCTTTTTCTGAGCTGGAAGCTGGTGGCCCTGGGATTCAGCTGACTCAACTCATTCCCATTCACTCACATTACTTTAAATCTGGTGACACGTCCCTAGACGACAGAGTCCACCTGCCTACCCCCGTACCTATAGAAAGGGCTGGGAGAGGGCGGCGGAGCTCACCTTTCAGAACTACTTTTTCCAGAATGTTCATGAAGTTCTTCTGGGCGATGCCACTCAGCGATGTGAGCTGTGACTTTGCTATCAGTTCCAGCAGCTGCGGATAAAAATAGAAGTTGCCGGGCTTAGAATACAGAGGTATTTTTCCCCTCTAATCTTCACTTCTGAGTCACATGATGTGCCGATACGGGGCTGACGGGGGAGAGAGACAAATGGCAGGCAAGGCCACCAGGCAATAAGAAGCAGGCGCTCCCAGTGGAAGACAAATGATGGTAATTCAAAACGTGGAGTCAGGCTGAATAGTTAATTGCCTTTTCTCATTTATCTGTAAAGGCTTTGGGCTTCAGCCAGGGCTAATCCACTCTACTTGGTCCACTTGGGAAAGGGGAGCTGACAGTATTCCGGAGGGAACAGACCTCTCATGACCCATGAGCACTGGAGCTCCGCACAGTCACCCCCAGGGCAAACTGGTCTTGCCCCAACTTGAACCCTGGTCTACTGGCCCCCACTGCTCTCAGGGCACAGCGAAGCTTGTGTTTGGTGACCATGTGCTTGTCCCAAGGAAGGGAAGATTCTTTGCTAGACATGGTCGGCTTTTTCATGTTTGGTAAACTCACCCGATTAGACTCCTTTGCTGCATTTACCTTTTTTTAAAAATAGAAAGATGCAGAGGAGAAACCGAGGTGTACACAGCGTGTCTACCTATTTCTTCCCAGAGGTTTAGGGGAGAAACCTTGTATCAGTTAACTTCGATGGGGTCTTTTTCAAAATGTTATTTTACATGTATGTTTGTGTGAGTGTAGCATGTGTGTGCCTGGTGCCATTGGAGGCCAGGAGAAGACACTGGAAGCAGAGTTACAGTGAGTTCTACGACAGTCAGGGCTACACGGAAAAACCCTGTCTTGAAAAACACAAACAAACAAACAAACACCCCGAAGATTCTATTGTTGAAGAATAAAATGACCAGGGGTCTTGGAGATCATCTAGTTCAACCCATTTCTCAGATGAATAAAGTGAGGGTCAAGAGTGTCGCCAGGGCCGGGGAGATGGCTGAACAGGTAAAGACACTTGCTGGCAAGTCTGCTGACCTGGACTTGATCTCCCAGGACCATGACAGACCACCACACATGTGCCCATACACGGGCATGCACACGTGTGCACACACACACAATAAATCAATGGAATGAAAGATTTAACAGACTTTATGAACTGTCTCACAACCTGTGAGAGGACTCGGCTGTGTTTTTACCACATAGGAAAACCAGAGGACACACTGTAGGCTTCAATGAATCACCACACAGAAGGTTGCCATAAAGTTAAAACACCCAATTTCATCAGAAACAAGTCCCCAAGAAAAACTTCACAGACTCGGCTTAGTAAACTGAACTCAGAAAACCAAGACCCCAAATCAGGGAGTGATACAAGAGAGGTAACAGTAGCGAATGTGAGGATATCATAATTAAATGTATTATTATCTATAATTAACATATGCTAATTCTAAAAAGAAAGAGAAAAGAGAAAACTAAGACCCCTCACTTCTTGGACTCCCAACTCCTAGAAAACTTTCTCAGTGGAACCCTGACTCTCTCCCACCACAAAATTAAACAGGCTGCCTTTGAGCTGGAACAAAATTTCCAGTCTGTTTTGTTTTGTTTTGAGACAGGGCCTCGCATAGTCCAGGCTGCCTTCAAACTTAGAGCTTCTGATCCTCCATTCTCTACCTCTGTAGAGCTTAGATGACTGGTGCGGCTTGCCATGCCCGTTTCATGAGATGCCTGGAACTAAACACTGGCCTTTGGGTATGCCAAGCACACGTGCTACCCACCAAGCTACAGTCTCAGCCCTGGGAGGCTTTCTGACAGCACCTCGGAGGGCCAGGCCCCTGGCTGATTTCATGTGAAGTCCCTCATCACTGGGCCGTGATACTGTACTGGATCAAGGCAGAGGGAGGAAACAAAGTAAAACCCAAAAGTGTGGTCTGCCCAAACAAAACAATAAGAGAGCACAAGACATGAAAATCAGAGCAGACTTCAGAGGACCAACTTGGACCCATGTCCCGGGTGGTTCACGGCACCTCTGTGTCTAGGTGTTTATTTAGACACTCTGTCCCCTTTGGACCCCTGTCAAGCCACATGCGGACCTGGCCCCTTGAACGTAATTTTACTTTAAATTGGAAAAAAAAAGTTTTAAACCTCAAATGTCTTCCTACTGCGTTTGGTATCTTTGACGTGTGCAGTGGGCGGTGTGGGCTCCTGACTTGGAGGAGGAGGGGGGAGGGGGAGTGGGAGGAGGAGAGGGAGGGGGAGGAGGAGGGGGAGGAGAGGCCACTGTGTTGCACTTAGTGCTAGAGACCTAAACTTAGAAGTCAAGGGGTTGACGAGATTGACTCGGACAGTGGAGGCATCAAAAGACACCCGGGTGGACACTCTGTCCATCTGCAGTGACCACAGCTCTCTGTGCCCCGTCTGGTTCAGTTCAGCTACCCATCAGCATGTGACCGTGGAGAGAGGAACACAAACCTCTCATTTTCTCCCTGAGCAACAGCAGGCTGTGCAAAGCCAGGCTGAGGTTTATTAATACCCAGAGCCTCACATGACTAGCATAAAGCAAGATGAAAGAAAACAAAAGCCCAGAGCTTGGAGCTTGCTCCTGTATGGCAGGCGGCTGAGCACCGTGACTCATCTTTGGGTAGGAGCTGAGGCAGGGGCAGCCTGCGATTGGCCAGAAGTGGATTCAAAACACGAGTGCCTTGTGACCACCAGCTCGAGAGCGTGTCGAGAGTGTCGGTATTGGCCTAAGAAGGCATCAGCCGGTCACAAGGAAAAGTAAATAAATGAAAACTTCCTCCGCAGCAGCCCCAGCTGCATCCAGGAAACCTCTGGAGACAGTGCATTTAGGGGAAGCAAACAGCTCTTTGGAAGATATTATCTTCCTTAACTGAGGGGGTAGAGGGACGGAGCAGCAAATTCTGTCAACTGACAGAAGGGTGACGTGTCAACATTTCTCTGACTAACTGCAGGGACAGTCCCTGTTGTCACTGCTAGGCAGCTGTGGAGCCCTGGAACAGGAGAAGAGGATTCTTGGTTTGGGTGACCTTTATAACTGTCATTCAGTTAGCAAGAATATCTGTGTGTCCACACTGTCCTAGCATTGAGATAGACGGCAGGGAGTGATGATAAAACACATGACCCCTAGACACGTGGACTTTATCTTCTAGCCATCTAGCTTGTTTTTGTACATCTAAATGCCAATAAAAAGACTACCTCACGAAACACAGAACAATAACCCAAAAGACAACCTAGGAATGTTATGAGAATCAAGTGAGGCAAACAAAAACTTGCTGAGTGTCAAGCATGAAGTGTTATTATCACTAAGAAAATCATTCTTCTCCCCAATTCCAGTCTCTTAAGGGAGTTTAAGGCTGATAGATGGAGTAGACAAATTTTGTGAAGGGTCAAACAGTAACTGCCTTTGTTTGCTTGTTTTTGGATTTTCAGACAGGGTTTCTCTGTGAAACTGCCTTGGATGGCCTTGAGCTCACAGAGAGCTACTCTACCTGCTCTGCCTCCCGAATGCTGGGATTAGTAATGCACCATCATTATGGCACCCAAATAGCAACCGTTTTAAGGTTGGTGGGTCATTCAGTCTTTATATTAAAAATGTCTTGCAACTGTAACACAAAAGCAACTATAGACAATATATAAATCAGTGTGCACCATGTGTGTATCAATAAAACTTTATTTACAAAAACCAGCGAAGGGCCAGATAACTCATCATAGAGATTGTTAAGTGAAGTCAAACTGTTTTGTATAATGACAGCACCTGCTTTAGAATTGTTGTGAAGATCAAATAGCTCACCAAGCACTCCCAATGTGCCAGTAGGATATACTTAGTAGCTCCCTGTCAGCAGCCTTCCATCATAATACAGAAAAGACAGCTAGATAAAACTATTGCCAGGCAGAAAATAGCCAACTACTGGGGTACAGAACAGCTTGTTTAAAGACTCGGTGTTTCAATTGTACATGGCGCCAGCTAAATGCTTTCAGATTCTAATATTCCTCTGACATCTTTATTTGTGATGCATGTAACAGCTCTCTGTTGACACAGCGCATGACTTGCAGGGGTGCTTCTTGCATGAAGTCCTATTTTGCTAACAACAATGGGCATTTACTGTGTGCAGAGACGGTGCCACACAGTTCATCTGTGTGGTCTCAGTTTTCAGCGACAAAGAGGTTAAGTTTCCCATCCAACAAAAGGCTCAGAGCAGTCAAGAAGCAATAGTAGGGGAGTCAATACTTGAATCCAGATATGTCTAAAACAGAAAATATGTATTTTTGTAGGGCTTAGGACCCCCATAGTGAAGGATAATCAGTAATTTGGCATGTAGGACCAAGTTTTATTCTAACGACTGTAGCAATATTATGGCCTGTCACTGGGGAAAGAATTTGGAGATCTTGTATCAACAGCGTACTGTGACTGGTGGTCAGCTTTCCATGCCGAGGTGAAATAATGCCCAGAAAATATTCTAACACACTTAGAAAGAGGCAGCAGCTTTGGGTAACCTCTCACACCCACACAACTCTACTGCCAAGAACCAGCACGGAGTGTCACGTGATACCAACAATGCTGGTGATGAGTCTATCATTTTGTTGTTGATATTTGCCCCAGAGAGTAGGTTTGGATGCAGCATTTGTTTATCCGGATGACTGAGCCAATTGGATTCTCTGGCCTCAGCCACAAGAGAAGGGGAGAGTAGAGGGAAATGTCTTGTTTGGGAAGTAGCTGTGTTCTGCTGGACAAGCTTTAGCTCAGGTGTCAGCAACGTGTGGCGGTGTTGAAGGAGAGGCAGAAGGCGACGGGGAGCAGGCATCAAGCTGTAGGCTGCCCTGAATGCCATGGTGTCAATGTGAGGGGGCAGTGTGGGGGTCTCTGCAAGGACTCACTGTGCAGTGACAGAACGAAGCTTTGCCCCTGGCGGGAGGGGGTGGCCACCACATGCCCAAACCACATCCTGACATTCAGCCTTAACTCATGCTGGTTTTGGAGAGGAGGAGTTGGAGAAAAATCCCCTTGCAAGCAAAGCCATGTAGCAAATCT